CTCCCGTCGGGCTGGTTGGCTCGGGGAAGGCGCCCACCTCCTCCATCTGCTCTCTACCTCTCATTTTAAGCCCCTTGTGCCGAACATTTCTCTCCACGTGACTCCAGGTGAGCCGCCTGTCGCCCATCTCTTCCCTCCGTAATGAACGGGTGTGTTGGCCGCGCTGCCCTGCCGCCAGGGAGCCTGGGGTTTGGGAGACGTTCTGGACTTTCCCCACGTTGAGATCTTAAGCTGCGGCCCGTGTCCGCTCACGTGCACCGTTTGGCTTCGCCATCCCGACTCTGCAGCCCTGAGTTAGACCCGACCTGGACGGGGCAGGTTGATGCTGAAGATTTCAGCCACTTGGGGCTAATCCAGGGGGAGCTGCCGGGCTTGGGGGGCGCAATTCTGGGAGTAAGTGGCCAGAGTAAGATGAGTGCCTCTGCGGCAGGAGGTTTTCTGGTCTTTCCAGTTGTGCCCAGGCCTTCAAACCCTTTATACAGGCAGCCGCCACTGGCACGGACAGCGCTTTGTGTACATTATACAAGGAAACCCTTTCCTCAAGACCCTATAAATCCAGCTGCTGGAAAACTGTTAGGGGAAATGAGTATGGGGTTTAGATGGTCACAACCTCCCCCCCACCCCCCACCCCCAAGCAGGCAAGTTGCTACCTTGAAACCAAGCAAGGGGCTCTGCATATCCTTAGCGTAGCAGAAATGTATTCTCTCAAGGCTGTCACCTTTTAGAAAAAGAGACAAAACTCGGCCAATCCTCCGAGTGATGCCTGGCATCACCAGCCAAATGGCCTCAGGTGGTTTGCCGTGGGCAGGGCTGCGTCCTGGTTAAGATGGTGGAGCCACACAGCTGGGTTTGAATCCTGGCAGCTCCTATCATCGGTGGTACTGAGGCAAGTTACTTAATGCCTCAGATTCTTTACCTGTAAAGTGAAGTTAAGGAATAAATGAGAATGCACTGAAAGTACTTACCACAGGGCCGGGCCCAGAGGAAAAGCCCCAGAATGCCCAGTGGGACCAGCCTGAGTGGGATGTAGCGGGCACAGAAGGGGAGAGACATGTCTAGTTCATGCTTCACCTGACCCCGGGAAGGTATCCCTACCACAGACCACATAGTAACGATTGGCCCTCGCGGACTGGACTTCCAGCATTGGTCCCTGATGCGGACTAAAGAACTGGTGCTCTAGAAAATACTGGTCATGGATTAGCATTTTCCTTCTGCCTAAGGTCACATGACCAATAAGATGGCCAAAAAGTGTCATCTCTGAATTTGTGTCAGCTGTAAAGTGGATGTGCTGCCCGCGGAGGGCTAAGTCCCGCGGGAAAGTTGAGGATCCCCTAGGCTGTGGTGGGGACTCAGGAGGGGGCCCTGGGGGTGCTGTGAGGGGCGCTGCTGGGTGCAGGGCGGGCTGGGCCTGGCTGCCGTGACACCTCCTCCTGCAGGTGCACGTGACCTCCTGTATCTTGGGCATCATCGTGATGGCGACCGCGAACTCTCTGATGTGGACATTCTTCAGCCGCGGCCTCAGTTTCTCCATGTCGTCGGCCATTGCCTCTGTCACGGTGACTTTTTCGAACATCCTCAGCTCGGTGAGTAGCCTGAGGGTCCAGTGCCCCGTCTCAAACTTGGGTTCTGGGTGGGTTACCCTTAGGCAGCCCTGCTTCCCCACATCGGAGAAAGGTCAGGAACCAGAGCAGAGGTTGGGCTGTGGCTGTTCCTCTCAACTCTCCAACTGAGGCATTCTCGCCTTCAATGGGACGCAGTCCAATGGTACAGCCAGCCTGCCTGCTGCTCGACCAGGCTGCAGCCCTCCTGCGCAGCCCACTGTCTCCTAGGGGCCTGCACCCTCCAGCATGAGATGCCAGGGCCTAGGTTCCTCTCTCTGGTGGCCTGAGGTCAGCAGGTGGGGGGAGGCAGGAGGCAGGAGGCCGCTCAGGTACCAGCCGCACACTGGCCTCGCTGTGGCCTCGGCTGGTTCTGTGCACTTTGCTGGCATCCAGTGCGGTGAGGAAGGTACTCTCCTCACTTCTGCAGGGGAAACCAAAAATGAGTCAAGTGACTTGCCAGCAGGGGCTCTAGACCCTTCCTCCCGCCCTAGGAGGGCAGTCAGCTCCCGGGGGCGGGGTTGTGCCCAGCCGCCCTGGCCGGGTCCCGTGGGCACGTGTTTCCGGACCTCACAGCTGTCTGTCCCACAGGCCGCCCTGGGCTTTGTGCTGTACGGAGAGAGCCAGGAGGTGCTGTGGTGGGGAGGCGTGTTCCTCATCCTCTGCGGACTCATCCTCGTCCACAGGAAGGCCCTTCCGCTCAAGCAGCAGTAGAGGCACTTGGCTGGTGGGCAGCTAGAAAGACAGATGGTGGCTCAGGCATGGGCTGGCGTGTGGGGACTGCTTCCCAGGGCGATCGGGGTGCAGCCTTCCGACCGTCAGCCAAAGGGAGTTGCTGCCGAGGGCAGCAGGCCTGTGACCGAGCAGCCTTGTGGTGGCAGCTCCGGCTCCTGAAGGGGAACAGCAGGCTCTGCCCCAGCACCTGGCCGTCTGCAGCGCTCCGTTTCTGACCTCCGGGCCCACCCAGGGGCCATGCAGGAGCTGGACTCGAACCAGCTGTACCTGTAGCCTGGTGGCCTAAGTCACGTGACACACCAGTGACTGGTGGGACTTGGACAACTTCTTGCCGATGTGTCGGGCCGGCTGTGCCATATTATAGGAGGAGGAAGACTGGATTAATGCTTTCTTGTAAGTTAAAACTACCAGGTGTGGAATCCTAATTCCTTCCTACATTTATTTCCTTCCTAAGTGTTTGGAGTCAGAGGGAGCAGCCAGGGCGAGCTGCAGCTCCTGGAGTGGTTATGGCCCCACCTTCCCCCGGCCTGGGTCCAGCTGCGGGCACACGGCTCCTTCCGATGTTCCCAGGCCGGCGCCCTTCCGGTCAGGAAGGCCCGGCCACCCCCTTGGTCCTCACGGGGAAAAGCTTGAGCTCACTTTGGGTCCCAGTTTTATTCTACAATTTATTAGGGTACAAAACTGGCCCAGAGGTTCGCTCACCCCCACTTCACCTGTAGGCCCCGTCTGTCCTTTGTTTGTTTCCCAGGCTCCTATGGCTTTTGTATCTACCCCGTGTGACTGGGACCCTAGGTGCTGCCCACACACTCCCGTGCATGGCCGATGTGACGCTCACCTGCTCCCGGTCCTCAGGGCTCCCGGGAGGTCTGAGCCCTCAGCCCGCCTGAACCCACCCCCTGGCCCCGGCTCCTCCAGCATTCCCTGCATAGAAAGGGACGTGGGACCAGAAGGCTGGGGAAGGGAAGGGCCATGTCCAGGCGGTCCCCCTCTCTGTGCCGTAGCGCTTCACTGCCCTCCAGTTCTCACTGCCGACAGGGCCTGCTCGCTCCCGTGGCTCCTGCTGACAGGGACCTGGCCCCGCCCGCCTCTCCCCAGGTCCTCTCTTGCTGCCTCTTAACACCCCGGTTGAGCCTGGCACTCCTGTGTTGAGAAGTCAGGGAGATGAGTGAGCAGACAGCGGTGAGGTAGGACAACCAGGCACGTGTGGCGTCCTGGGGGCATCACTCGAGAAAAAGGAGCGATCACCCGGCTGATGCTGAGGGAGGGGAAGGGGAAGACGGAGAGGCCTTTGGACTCGGACAGAGAGTTACAGGAGCAGCTTGGAGGAGGGTGGGCCACAGCCTGAGCAGATCAGGCTCATGAGGGATGGCGGGTCCTCCACTGATGCCGAAAAGTTGCTCGGAGTGGAAGGAAACTGAGTATGACCGAGGCCGCCACAGTGACTCATCCCCGAGGTCAGGAACGGACATGCCCGCTCTCAGCACTCCCCTCCGCATGTGACCAAGCTCTCCCAGAGCACGTGGTCAGGAAAGGGAAGGACGAAGTTATCTGCTCAGAGATGACATGATCTTGTAGGTAGCCTGTGCTAGAAGAGGGGCTGCCCCATTCTCAGGAGCCTCGGGGGGCCCAGGGGAGGGAGACCCCGAGTCGTCCTGGCAGGAGGTGCCGACCGAAAGCTATTCCTCTGTCCTCGGACTTGCTCAGATGATCCATGTGCTTTAATTAAACGGATGCTTCAATGAGGGTCCCTGAGTCTGTGTTCTTTTTTTTTTTTTTAATATATTTTATTGATTTTTTACAGAGAGGAAGGGAGAGAGATAGAGAGTCAGAAACATCGATGAGAGAGAAACATCGATCAGCCGCCTCCTGCACATCCCCCACTGGGGATGTGCCCACAACCAAGGTACATGCCCTTGACCGGAATCGAACCTGGGACCTTTCAGTCTGCAGGCCGACGCTCTATCCACTGAGCCAAACCGGTTTCGGCGAGTCTGTGTTCTTTCAGGGATCACGCTTCATAGCATCTTCTGCCGGGTCAGGTGGGCACTTGGGGAGCCATCCAATCCTCCTAACTCCCCAGGCCCAGGGGCTCCCCCTCCGAGGGGGTTGGGCTGTATTCGGGGCCTGTTCAGGGCACCCAGCCCCTCCCGGCGGTATCACCCAGCAGAGGCACGTGTGTGGGTTGAAGGTTATTTGTGTGTAATTTACGTGACATTCAGGGGTGGTGGGCTGGGTTCTAAATTAAAAAACTTTTGTCCTAGCCAGTTTGGTTTGGCTCAGGGGTTGGAGCATCATCTCTGCAGACTGAATGGTTGCGAGTTTGATTCAGGTCGAGGGCATGTGCCTCCGTTGCAGGCTCCATCCCTGGCCTTGTTTGGGGCACTTGCAGGAGGCAACCAATCCAGGAGTCTCTCTCAACATCAATGTTTCTCTGTGTCTCTCCCCCCTCCCTTCCACTCTCTAAAAATCCATGGAAAAAGTATCCTTGGGTGGGTTTAACAACAAAACCCTTCCATCCTGTGCACTCTTGCCCCAGGTGCCCCTCCCTAATGCACAGTAGGCGCTCAGTGAACACTCACCGCAGACACCACCTCGGAGGACCCCAAGGGGAGGGTGTTGCTAGTGTCTTCCCACTGCATCCCTACTGTGTCCTTGTCTCCCACACGGGAAATGAGAGAAAAGAGGCTTCGAGGTGACCGTGAGGAAGGACACCGCCCAGGGGCCCAGGCTGTGACCTTCTGCTGAAGGTGGAGACCAGCCACTGAGGTCACACGGAGCTTTTTATTGAAGAGAAAGGCCGAGGTCCCTGCCTCCCTCCCCGTAGGCATCAGCTGCAATGCTTCCCGTGTGAGGCCCAGCAGGAGGCTCCGCTGCTGGCAGCCACCAGAGGCGGTGGAGTTGCTGGTGAGGACATGAGGCTGGGGGTGGGCAGGGTGCTGTGGGTGAGGCCTGGTGTGGAGATGGGCCCAGGGAGGAGGGCGGGCCGGTCTGACAGGTGGCTCTGGGCTGCTGGGTCCCGCTGCTCTCAGGCCAAGCCCATTGAGGGGGTCGTATCTTAGGCCCAGGTTTAGCACACACCTCCCGCCGGAGCTCAGCAGACACCCGCAAGCCCCCTTCCCTTACTCTAACCTCGAGCCCTGCCTCCTCGGGGACACCAGCGGGCAGCACTGCGTCCTCCCTGGTGGGGTCTCTGGTCCCCAATCCTTGCTGAGCCCCAGGGCTGCGCTCTGGGTTAGGACAACAAACACCAGCTTGGGCAGGCAATGCGGGTCCTCCGATCCAGGTGCTGGTGTCACGGGCAGTGCACCCCAGAACAGAGCCTAGGCTGGGAGTGGGGGATCCCACTCTGGTACCAAACAGGGACCTGAGCCCTTCTGTCCAGAAGGTACTTCAACAACCTCTGAGATGGGTTCCCCTGCTCAGGCTTCAGCCTTCAAATGGGGCGACCAGGTCCCAGCCTCCTGGTAGAGTTGGGGGGAGAGGGTGTCTGTCTTCCTGGGTCATCACCGTGCAGCCCCGGGCCACCCCCCCCACCCCCCACAGAGACGAGAGGGGCACGATCTTGGGAGAAATGGCTAAAGCACACAGGCCAAGCTCCAGTCAGTTGTGCGCATGTTGGGTAGACTTCCTCCGGGAGGGAGCGGAAAAGTAAGTTCCCCTGGGAGGTCGAGAGGCCCCGGAGCTCCACACCGGTCCCTCCCCACCTGGGAAGGGACACTCGCAGCCACAGGCGGGACAGGGCGGGTGCAGGATCTTATCTGTGGGCAGAAGCTGAGTTGGGTGCTGCTGTCATGGGCTCGTGTCCATCCCGGGCACATCCCACACGGATGTGTGTCCCCATGCTGGGCCCGGCCTGGCCTGAAGGAGGCTGTGGCTGCCATGCGTTTCTCCTAACTTAGACCCCCTCCAGGGGGCTGGATCCTGGTGTCAGTGTCCCACCCCAGGGCCCCGAGGCTGCCCTTCTCTGTCTGCTGCAACCTCGTGGCCGAGATGGCAGGCCCCCCTTCCCAAGAGAAGACACACATCCCGAGAAAAGCCAAAGGCAAGTTCTTTGCTGCCCTGGGCCGCCCCGTCCAAAGCCCCCTTTGCCGGGCGAGGCTGAAGGACGCCCAGTTGTGGAGATGGCTCCTGGCATCCCTCCCTGGATACTCTTAGATGAACTCAGAGAAAGTCTCTTGTTCTCCTGTTACCCTGGTCCCCGACCCCCAGACCTGGCCCCACATGGGGAAGGAAGGAGGGTGTGAGGACAGCAGTGCCCAGGGAGCGGGGCACAGCGGGGGCAGGGGTGCGCTGTGCCCAGGAGCCCCGATGGCAGGTGACAACCCCCCCACAGCAGCATCACTCGTCCGTCACCTCCACAGAGTCCTCGTCCTTCCTCTCCTCCGACTGCTCCTCTGACTGCTCCTCCGTTGTTGTCTCCATGTTGTCTGACGACGCCACCTGCCGCACCCAGCCCTCGTCCCTGAGCACGGGGTGGTAGGGTCCGGAGAAGGGGTTGAACCAGTTCGGGGAGAAGTTCCCCCCAAAGGTCTCTTTGACGCCCTTCCAGCTGCCCCGGCGCTCCCTGGGCTGCTGCTTTCGTTTGAGGCGCTCAATGCTCTGGGGAGACAGTGGGGTAAGGAGGGTCAGCATGGCACGGGCTCAGCACAGGCTCCTCAGGGCTGACGGGGTGCAGTGGGGTGCGGGGTTGCAGCCAGCAGGATCTTGAGGGGACCAGGACTTCGCTTCCCACCCTCCCCTCCCCTCCCACAGGTGAGGGCTGCCCAGCCTTGGAGCCTGGAGCCTGGCTAAGCAGGGCCAGCTGTGCGCAGGGCCAGGCCCGGATTGGCCAGGGAGGAACACGGGCCTCTGAGAGCACGAGAGCTCGGCCGCCCGCCCTGAGCCCACTATAAAGGGCCACTCCCCCACGGCAGGCGGACGGTGCAGCAAACTCTGCATGAAGATGGCGGGGTGAGGGGGGCGTAGGGTACAAGCAGCATGAGCTGAGGAAGCCGACGTGCGCGCCAGTGAACATGCAGCGGGCAGCAGGGCACACCGGTCACTGGGAGGCAGAGGCGGGTGGCGGCTGCTGGTGGCAGTGACACCCCGCGGCCTCTCCCAAGCTGCCCACTCACCTGCCTCTGGGTGTCGGCTGCGACGCAGCCAGCAGGCCTCAGACAGGGTGTTAGGAGCCGGGAGAGCTAAAGGCCCGCACCCTCACAGAGCTTCCGCCCGTGGCCTCTGCCTTCCCTTCTCTTCGGGAAGCCAGAGGGTTTGCCGCGGTTTGGCAGGCTTGGGTCCTGCTCCTTCCCACCTCGAAACTACCTCCGAGTACCTAGCTCTAGGTTTCCCCTCCTTTTCCGCACAAGATCCTCCATAACCGCTGGAGTCCTTGCTGTTATGCAGAAAGAGAAACTGAGGCACGCACAGACTACGATCTGACCATGCCCCGGGCCAGGTCTCCAGCACTCTTTCTTCCCACGCCATTTTGGAGATTTAAGTTTCTTGGCTTTTGAAAAAGTTGTGGGCTGCCCTGGCCGGTGTGGCTCGGTTGGGTACCGTCCATACTCTGAAAGGTCCCGGTCAGGGCACAGGCCCAGGTTGTGGGCTCGATCTCCAGTGGGGGGTGGGCAGGAAGCAGCTGGTCGATGTTTCTCTCTCTCTCTCCCTTCCTATCTCTCTAAAAATCCATTTAAAAAATCTTTTTAAAAAAAGTATCTCATAAGTTACTGATTAATTACAAAGGGCAAAACAGAACTTCGCAGTCAGGACACTGGGATTCCACCGTAACCAAGTTGAAGTTAACATCACCCACGAGACCCCACTCCTGTGCCTGTGGGTGGGCCCACCTGGCCATGGTGCTCCGCCAGCACAGCCCGTCTAATCATGGGAAACAGACGCGGAGGGAGGCTGTTCTCAGGACACGGGGCTCATGAGCTCCAAAGTTTCAAAGTCTCATGAAAATGTTTTAGAACCAGGTAGAAGCAGTGGCTGCACAACGCTATGGAAATACTCACTGGCAGGGTCGCACTTTAAAATGGCTAAATTTGTTGTATGAATTTCACCAGAAAAATCCGACAACCAAAAACCATCAAGCTCAGGAAAGACAAAGACGGGAACTCTCATGAGCTGATGGAGACGAGACATGACAAGCGATGCCATGTGGCACCCGGGCAGAAAGTATTAGTGGGACAACTGGAGAAATCTGAATAGAGTATTAGCTTAGTATTGTATCTACAGATTTATATTTTTATATAAAATGTTTACATTGGAAAGACTGAGTGGAGGGTATACAGGAGCTCATTGTACTGTATTAACCACTTTTTGTAAGTCTGAAGTTATTTCACAGTCAAAGTTAAAATAGTCTGAGACCAACATTTATGCAATGCGATCTTGGACACTGACTTATAATAATGGAAGTTGGAAACTGTTGAAATGTCTAATTGTGGCGGTTATGAACTTACTCTGTGAAGTTATGCGATTAAACATGGCGTTTCTACGTTTTCACGTGGCCCTGGAAGGGCCCGTGCCATGGTGACCAGGGAAGAAAGTAAAGGGCACAGGACATCACCACGGAACCTGAGGTTCCCTTTTGGGGGGGCGGGGGGGGTTAGATGACTTTATTTAGAGGTATTTATTTCTGGAGGCTTTCCACACTCCTGGTTTCCACCAATGCACAGGTGTTACTCTTTTAACCAGAACAAAAACAGCTGTTTCAGAAAATGGACCTTGTTGAGTCTCGAGGGCCTCACGTGGGTCAGGAGTACAGCACGCACGTGGCCCGTGGACTGGCTCCCCCGCCCCCCCACCACCACCAGTCCTCAGTCCTCCCTGCTCAGCAGCCCCAGCAATGCCACCTGAGACCTGAGGCTGCTGCTTCGGGGACCCTGCATTCCTTTCCTGGGTGATCGTCTGCAGCGTGTTAGGAGGGTTTTAAACCATGACGGCAGGGCGGCTGGGACGTCAGCACATGCTGACCAGGCTGCAGAGGGGACACCCGGAAATGACAGGTGGCTGACTGGGCTCACCCAGAGCCACGACTCTGGGTCCTCACTGCCACCCAGCGAGGAGGCAGGCTCCGTACTGCCCTTGGCAGGTGGGCAAACAGGCTGAGAGGCCACAATCGTGGCCAAAGCTCGTCTGCTGGTCTCGCACCAGAACCGGAGTCTTCCTTCTCTCTGCCCAAGTGGGTTTCATCCTCCTGCAAACACTCGCTCTGCTGGTGCTGAGCTCAGGCAGAGAAAAGCCGGAGGGCAAGAAGCACAAGCCCCCAGGCCACTGGCTTCCACTCCACAAGCCTGGAGAATATTCCAGACAGAGCCTGCCTGCCTGGCCACCAGGTGAAGCGCCTCAGCAGTTAAGCAGACAAACCTGCAAGGAGTGTGCCACCTCCGCTGAGTCTGGAGAGAAGAAATTCCATCAAATCTGATGCATAAAAAGCCCGAGGGCCTGGACCTTCAGGTTCGGGGGGAGCCCCTGGGGTTACTTCTTCCTGGAAGGACTCAGTGGGTAGTTTTGTGTGAACTTAAAGGGTCCTGAAGGCAGTTCTTCAGCTGGAGGTGTGCAGAGGAAGCAGCATCCCCCTCAGGCTTCCACAGTGATGCCCCGGGACCAAGGCTCCAAGGGAGCCCCCTCCAGCACATGCTCTTAGGACTCAGCTGAGGCCCGTGGAGGAGCGCAGCGTGTCCCCTGCTCCCATGTCACCAGGTGTAGAAAGTCAGCCACCGCAGCCTGCACACGTGCCCTCGCGGAGGCCAGAGAACTCCCTTCCCCGGGGCTTTCACGCAGGAAATACTTGTCTGTTGCAACCCAGCAAACATCCCGTTTCGTGGAGCAATACTTGTCTTCTAATGTGCAATGCATTTTTTTTCCCTTTACAAAAATGCTGTTGCAAACCGATAAACTGATTCACAAATGAAAAGCTGTGACCTGGTTCAAAAGGCGCAGCTCTAATCCTTGGCGTTTGCTAAAGCCATCGACGCGTCAGACTCGGCACTAACATTCACATTCATTGCCCTCAGCTAGTCCTCACATCAGCCTTGTGATTTGCAGTATCCCCAATTTTACAGAAAAGTGAGGCGGAAGTAAGTCACTGCCCAGGTCCCACAGGATGTACGCGAGCAGGGGTTTGATGCAGATGGAGCCAGGGTCCCGGGGCCTCACTAGACTCCGGCCCCAATGCAGGGATGCAGCTCCCTCTGTCCGGGTCTCCGAGAGCTCTCCTCCCCGAAGCTTTGCATAATTCCCTGCATCCGTTTGGCAGGTGAGGCGCCCGGGGCCACTCTGCTTTGCTTGGGAACCACAAGCCAGAACATGACTTTCTTGGGGGAGAAGTTGGGGAGATGAAGCCTTCACTTTGGGAGTAGGCTGGCCACTGGCTTGTCTTTCGCTGTGAATTCCTCCTTCTGTGAGGTGATGCTCAGCTCAGACATGTATTTAAGAAACGAGAAAAGAGCCCGTTGAGTGTGAGGTCCCCAGGTAGAAACCAGGGGCCAGGACCTGTGCCTGCCCAGGCTTAAGTACCCACACTTGGAGCCACTCCTTGGAGAACCCTGGCTCCATTCTTTCCCCTCGCTCTTCCAGATGGTTCTCCACCAAAGGGCCTTGGGCCCAGTGTGGTTTGCAACCCCGGGCCACACCGATAACGCGGTTGCCTTCTAACACTCGCACTGTCCCTCAGCATCCATTGGCGGGGGGCGGGGGGTGCAGGCCGAGGGGAGGGGCTCCAGGGCACATGGCTCAGCACTGAGCCCGCAGCACTCGGGACCAGGGCCTCAGGGCATCAGGCCACCTGCAGAGACCCAGGAACCAAAAGGGGTCCTCAGACCTGAGTGTGTGTCAGAATTGCCGCAGGGCTGTTGCAATGTAGACTGTGGGGCCCAGGGTGGGGCCTGGGAACAGGCATGTCTAACGTGCCTGGGGGATGTTGCTGCTGCTGCTCTGGGCACCACAGTACAAGAGGTGCTGCCCAGGTGCCTCGCCAGGAAAGATTCTCGGGAGGAATCCTAGCAAAAGCCTCGCCACATTTCTTTGGCATTTAAAGGCCCTTTCGAGGTTGGGAGCCCTCACCCCTCTTTACTGGCTGGCTCCTCTTTAGGCTGATGCATTGGAATGAAAGCAACTTAAACCCATTTGCCCAACCAGCCGCCCAAAGCCTGGGTTTCTGTGATGCCCACCTCACGTAGGTGGCCGTAATGTTTCTTCATGGCCTCATCTGGACGATTTTGCATCAGGAAGGCGACCTTAACTCTCCAAGCAGCCTCGCCAGAACGAGCAAAGGCTGGTAACAAGGTGTCTCATTTTGGGTTCTTCTAAGACAGAGATGCAGTGCTTACGACTGATAGGAGACCTGGCAAGTGCTGCCTGGACTCGCCTTGGGTGCACGAGTCACCGTGCAAATCTGCAGGTCTGTTTGCAATGCGCGGAGTCACCTGACTCAGCTCGCCATGTCGCCTTCCTTTCTCACTCCACTCCCCGGAGGCCGTGTGGAAAGACTGGCTACGACTGGCCCATTTCCTATGCTCGCGCCATTCAGTGCTGTCCCAGCTCCTATGCCGAAGCCGAAAGCTAGGGCCATTTAACACCCACACTTCTCCCACACCTAAGTGTGGGGAACAACTGCTATAAACTAGATTTAAAACCGACCTCAGCTGTGCCTGCAGCTCAGGCAGCACAGCGGCCAGTCCGAGTTAACAGACATAGGGGCGCAGACTTTCGGTTAGACATCAAAGGGACGACGGGAGCTCCTCAAAGCAGCCCACCAGGACCGTTTGTGGACGTTGCCAGCAATTTCCTCTGGCTTTTGGCTGGGAGGGCAGGTCAGGGTTTCTCCCCAGGCTGCACCCTAGAAACAGCACACCTGACCTTTTCCATAGCCACTGAGAGCCAAAGGGCAGGCAAGGGCTTTGGCTGCAGAAAGCCAGAGGAGAGGCTGTGGGCAAGCTTGCTCAAGAGGAGTCCCAGTGCCCTTTAAAAACATGTAAATCCTCATTCAAGAGGGAGCATCAATAAAAACAAACTCCGACCAGCCGGCCAGTCACCGGCGCTGGCTGCGGTGACGCTGGGCGAGAACAGAGCTCAACCACAACAGGTTTTTGGAAAACGTTTATTGCATTTGGTTTCCAGGTGGAAGCACTGACAGGATTGAAAGAGGCGCATATTCCCCTTCTCTGAGAAACCACCTGGCTGGATCCAGTCTCCCTACCCACGACTGGACTTAATAACTCTTATCCCCCACCCCCACCCCAAGCAAGAGCTAAAAAAGGCTTGTGGCAATTGCTTAAAAAACAAATCCATGTGTGAGAATCCAGATGATCAGTATTCCAATTCCTGCGAGTGTTTGGGTGGCCGGCGCTGTCTCCTCACCGGCCGTCATCAGGCCGTTCTCTTGCAGATGAACAGGAGGGGCTCCCAGGGCAGGCTGCCCCAGCCCCGCACCTGGCTCAGGTGTGCCTGCTGACTCCAGTGACTGCATGGCCACCTACCAACCTTGAAGTCAGGGCTGGAATGTCCCCCTTGCATCGTGGTTAGCCCCAGGCCAGGGCAACAGTCTCCCAGGTTAGAACACAGACCAGATGTGGGTCCGTGCACACGGCTGGGTCTGAACACCAGGAGGTAAACCCCTTTGGCGACTTACAACACGAGGAAGGAAGGGCTGATGGCAGGGCTGCGGCTCCTCGTTGTGGGGGAGGGAGAGTGAGCCGACTAACAGGAACATGGAGCTCGCTCGAAACTGTCACATTTTCATCCTTTGATTGTGTAAGGCATTTTGAACTGGAAAGACCTCTTTCCTTCACACTCTTTCAAATAATCAGAGGGAATAGAACTGGTGATTCAGAATACATATAGGATCCCTTCCGTCCCTGCCATTCCACACCCCGAGTCCATCAAGTACAAGGCAGGCAATTGATTTCATGGGTTAGGAGGCAAACCGAGTCCACACAGGGGATGAGGCCACTGTGCGGGCCCTTCGTAGGGCTCCAGCCCTGATCCTGCCCCTCTAGGCCACAAGGGTGAGCATCCATCTTCTGTGTTTCAGTTGCACGGGGCCCTGCCACTCACTGCCTGCCTCTGCCTCCCCAGCCAGGCGTCGACACGGTCCTTCCACGCACCTTCCACGCACCAGTCACGTCTCAGTTAGTAGGAGTGGGCACGGCCTGGAGACAGCACCGTCCACGTTAGTCATGCCAGACAGACAGCAGAGAGGAAACCAGAGGCCAGAGAGGTGGTTTTTGAAAGGAGAAAAGAGCAGCTTCGGTTGCCAAAAAATAGGAAGGATGATCTTTTAAAAATAAAACATGGGGACGTTTTTTCTCTGCAATGCTCAGCCATTTTACTTGAGTCATAAAAAAGTTTTGGAGCAGTTGGTTTGCTTTCTGGTTTGAGTGCTCGTGAGAACGGGCCGCGGTGCTGGGATGTGTGTGTCTGAGAGGCAGTACTGCCAGGGGTCCTTCAGACCACGTACTGGGACGGGTCTGCCTTCCCGTGGTCGGGCGTGGCAAAGGGGCTGGCCCAGCCTAGAGAGAAGGGGTGGCCAAAAACGGCTTTCAGGTTCATCCATTTTGTTTTTTTAGCCCATCTTCTCTCTTCCTTTTTCAATTGCTCTATTCCCTGAAAACAAGAACAACCACACTTCAGTCACACACTTCATCGCTGTGGGATTGGGGGAGGGAAGTCCATTGGCCTGAGGTGAGTGGAGTAAACGTCTCCTTTATAAAGCCATAGAGCAGCTACACATCACATTTGCCTTCCCTTTCTCTCATAAAAAGTGTAAAAAACCCAGACTTTCTTGGGGATGAGGTGCCAGGGCCCAGGGTGGGCGGGCCAGGGCCTGCAGGCTTTGGCACTGGAGCCGCGGAGCTGGCAATCTGACAGCCAAGGGTGACTGCTCAGTTGGGACTGGTTCACAGGAAGTCTGCGATACCATGACCACTTTGTAGACAAAAAAAAAAGAGAGAGAGAGAGAAAAAGAAAACAAAGTGAGTCAAAGGGCAGCTCTGGTGGGTCAGACTCCGCCAGAAGGGTCAGGAGCACAACTGAGAAGGTGGAAAGGAGGGACAGGCGGGTTGGGAGAAGTCACCAGAGGAAGGAGATGGGTTAGTACAGGTCAGGGGGCCACACGGACAGACCAGTCAGCCTCAGTCACGGCGAAGGCCTTCCCGGGGCTCCTGTGGGGAGACGTGTGACCCTGGGCAACCTCAGCAGCTGTCACAGAGCCTGCACTCCCGTCTCAGGAAAAATGGGGGCTGCGGAGAAAGCTGGTCCCCCCAATGGATAGAGCTGGTCAGTGAGGGGGACAGGGATTTGTGTCTGGTCTCTGGTGAGGGGGGAGCAGCCCCACCCAGGCTGGGGAGGACCTGTTTCCCATGAGCGGTGGGGCCTGCCCTTCCTTCCTTTCCAACATGACTCCTGGAGGGGAAGATGGGCCAGGCCCTGACAGCTCTCCTCAGGCTCCCCCAGGTTACGGCCCGTGTGGCCTGGCAGCACCCCAATAGCAGGCAGGAGGTGGGGCTGGAACACCCCGGTTCCTGCAGACCTTCCACAGAGAAGCTGGTCCTGTTTACTGCCTGGATTCCTAGCTGGATCCACCACTGGCTACTGTTTTTATAGAAACTCCTTTTGTAATGATGTTATTTCTTATTTACATTACGATTCATAACAGTAGCAACATTACAGTTAGGAAGTAGCAACGAAAATAATTTTATGGTTGGGTCACACCATGAGGAACTGTATTTAAAGGGCCAGAAGGTTGAGAACCACTGTTAAACCATGGCGAATTCCCACAGGTGCAAACAGTGGTGCCTGGGCAGCCGGGCAGCCAGCCCTTCCCTGCACTGGCCTTTCCCGCCCGCGGGAGGGCCCTGGCAGCTGAGGCAAGCATTCCCCTCACATGAGCCTCCCTCCAAGGCCGACTACTGGGGCCTGCAGTCTCCACAGGGGCCTGGATGCTGCTGAGAGCTGCCCCCCGAGGGGACCCTGGGAAGCCAGGATGGACTCTCAACCTCAGGACTCCACTGCTCCCTCCTGGGCCCCTTACAGGGAGCCCCAAACCCAAAAAGGGAAGCGATGCCCACATCACAGCCACGGGTTAGCACCTTGAGGCTTCTGGACACCTTAGGACGGTTGGGGGGAGGTGGCACCAGGGGAGTGGGCTCTGGCCCAGCAGCTTCGAGGCTCCCAGAGGCGGAGCTGTGAGTACGGGAAGGCAGGACCAGGGAGAAGCGGTGGATGAGGACCAGAGCAGGCCCGGCAGAGGTGACCGGGGCCCAGCGAGGACGAGCTACCACTGATCTGGGGCTCGAGGCAGGGCTGTCTCCTGCTCTGCCCTCAGGACCAGACATGAAGTCACCTCCTCTGGGAGTGGCTCTGCCTGGGCCACCTGGGTCCCGGCACTCTCTGTCCACCATCCAGTCTCCAGCCTGTGGCCCCAGATGGGAGGTGTCCCAGTGCCCAGCAGAGCGGCGCACAGACAGAACGCTCAGGGGAGCATGGAAGGACCTGTGGCCAAGGGGACCCCTCACCAAGGCTGCTGGGCCCCTTGCTGGTGTGACGGCATGCCAGCCCCCAGGGGAGGACGCGTGTGTGCATGAAGATCAGTGTCCCTGGGAATGGGGGATCTGCCCCGCACCCGGGGTCTGTGCAGGCCACCCTCCTGCTCACCGTCTCGTCCGTGCAGATGGAGTGCACCTGGGTTCCGAACATCACCGACGTGAAAATGAGGAAGAGCAGCCCCTCGAAGCACAGCAGGATGAGGAGGATCACTGTGGTGGGCGGCGAGAAGTAGCTGCACTCTGCAAACAAAGGGCACGGGGCTCAAGGCTGGCCCATGCCCACCGCCCCCAGGCCCCCTCTGCCCCAAGTCCCCCGGTGGGTCCTCCTGGTGCCACGTCTCTGGTCTCCAGGCCTCAGTGAGGACCCTCCCCACCCCGCCTGGTTGCACCTACACTCCCTATGGGAGCCCTCCTTGACTGGCCGGGCCCTGCCAGGGCCTCCCTCCCACACACCAGCCCTCGCTCGCTGCCGCTTCCCGCCAGCAGGCCACCCGCTCCAGGCCAGGCCTGGCTTGCAAGCCCTCTCTGCTGTGAGCACTTGGCCTCCGAGCCTCTGCTTTTCCTCTCCACGTGCCGAGCAACTCCCACCCTGCAGGCCTGGCTCAGGTCGGAACAAGGCCGGCTCAGAACGCCCTGCGGGCCGCCCGGCTCCCAGCGGCACTAAGAAAACGGCCCGTCAGCTCTGTTCTGGACAGAGACACGGCCTCACTGACGGTCTGTGACTCTCGTCACTGCCCAGGTCTGTGAGCCGGACGACGGGATGGTGTCTGTGATGATGAATGTCCTTGTCAGACCTTACCCCAAGCCGCCAAGGCCACACCTGGATCCGGGGCCTCGCTGATGCGGTCCTTTTAGAATGTTCACCAAGGAACCTGCGGTGGCCCCCAGCTGTGCAGGACCCCGACCTGCAGAAACCCCAACCCCACCCCCACTCACTGACAACCTGGCTTGTGCTAGAACCGCGCTAGTCAGGAAAGCAGGGAGACAGGGTGCTATGGACAGAACTGTGTCCCTCAATTCCTGTATTGAGCCCCAGCCCCCACTGTAGTGGGTTCAGAGACGGGCCTTTGGAAGACGCAGGTAGGTGAGGCCCTTACAGAGGAGACACCAGGGCGCTTGCTGTCCCCTCCCTGCCCTGGGAGGACTCAGGAGGAGGTGCCACCTGCCAACCAGGAGTCCCTGCCTCAGGAGCCCAACTGGCGGGCACCTCGCCCTGGACTTCCCAGTGCCAGAGCTGTGAGCAGTACATGTGTGAGCCGCCCAGTCTACGGTGCTGTTAGGGCAGCTCACAGGGGTTCTCTTCCCCTAGATGAGGTCCAGCCAGAGTGCTGGGCAGGGCCAGGGAGGGAAGAGGGGGCGGGTGCAGACTGTGACACAGGGGAAACCTCTTAATATCTGGTTGGAGCTAGGGATACTGTCTTTTTCATAGCCTCATGAGTTGTTTTTTTAATGTGTTTTTTATTGATTTTAGAGATAGAGGAAGGGAGAGGGATAGAGAGAAACATGGATGACTACGAAACATCAATTGGCTGTCTCCTGCACGCCCCCTACCGGGGATCGAGCCCACAACCCGGCATGTGCCCTGACTGGGAATCTAACTGTGACCTCCTGAGCCACGCCAGGACCATTGAGCAACACTGGCCGGGCAGCCTCAGAGTCCTGAGAAACAATAACAGCAAGAAAATGCCCAAGAAGTCAGCATGTGCAGGAAGAGCAAAACTTCTAAAGGATGGTGAATGAAAAAGGGGAAAACATCGAGGGAAAAACAAATACGATGTTTCTGCTCACGGCGTTTGCTCACAGGTTGTGTGTGTGAAGGATCTAGCTCAGCAGGCGGCCTCTTAAATCTGTTAGCATCTAATCACTTTTTTAAATTTTTTATTCTTTTAAATTTCATTGATTTTTTTTCAACATCTATATTTTCCCTCAGAATTTATATAATTTTCTGGTTGGAGCTCCTTCGTTGGCATTTACATTTAAATGGAATACTTCTAAAACAGCAAGAATTTGTCTACAACCTTAATGTCAATTGGTGATCAAACAGTTAAAAAGCAACCACCACAAAAAAACAAACAAATTAACAAAACATCTCCACATCCCAGGCAGGAAGTTGAAAATGAGTTTCTGCAAGATTGGAATGGGTGACCTCTGAATGGAGGGCTTTGGCCAAGGGCACGGAAACCCACTCCCGGGCCTCGCCTCCTGGCTGGGCCTGCCCTCTCCCAGGCGCGCTAGGGCGGGCGGGGTCTGCCCAGCTCTCCACTTTACCTGTGGAACTGCCTGTAAGGGGCTGCGTTTTCTCCTGAGAGATTCGGGTCTCTGCTGTTCCTTCCCTGGTCAGTCCGTGGGCTTGCAAGAGATCTAATAAATTGAGGGTGGCCCCTGGCACCACGATGGAAATAAGGAGCCCGCCTCTCATGTCCCCCACCCGGAGGAGAGCCCTGACCACACTCACTTGTCCAGTCTTCTTCGAAGCAGTGTAGGAAGTGGAACCCCACCATGATGAGGGCGTGCAGGGAGATGAGAGCTATGTACATCTGCAACGAAAGCGGGGCAGGCGTCAACGTGCGAACCCCGCACGCAGGAGCACTCAGGGTGAGGGAGGGCCAGGAGCAGGACCAGAGGCACCTGCCCCCCGCACTGGTCCCCTCCCCCAGCCCCGGGTCTGAGGTAACAGCCACTCGCTGGGACGGACTGTGTGAACAGTGGCCGTCACCAGGCGTGACCTGGACTCCGGGTGGGTGGGGCTGCCTCGGGGTCGCTCTCCTCACCGAGCAGGGAGGGTGCTGACTGCCAGTGGCCCTTCCAGCCCTCACACTGAACACACCCCGCCCACCTGCAGTCACCGCCAAAGCGGCTCCTATAGCGACTCAGACTGGGCGCTGGCCCTCGCTTAGAGCTCACCAACTTGAGTCTGTTTTCTAGGAGCTCAGGAGCAGGCAGCCCTGGCTGAGCGAGGCTGGCCGAGGCGCTATTCGCAGCAGCAGGGAGCTCGCGAGTGCTGGGAACCTGGGGAAGCAAGTGCTCCGCGGGTTCCGGGAGGGTGGGGCAGACCCGGAAGGGGACTTACTGTAAACAGGACGAAGTACTTCTGGTTGTTCTCGCCCACGCAGTTATTGACCCAGGGACAGTGGTGGTCCATCTTCCGAATGCACCGCTTACACACACTGAAACAGCCGCGGGCGGAGCGTTAGGAGGGCCCTGGCCGGAGCCCCGGGAACACAGACCTGGCCTCCTGCTGGGTGCGGGCTGCAGGGGCTGCGGGTCAGTCACCCACCAGGGCCTCTCGGTTGACACACAGGGGATGGAACTGACGTGGTGTGGCTGCTCTCTTGACGCGACACTGAGCTGAGAGTGTGGTTTAGTGAGAGGACATGAAGAAGCAGTTTCAACAACTTGAGGAGATGGGATACAGAATCAGGGCTCCCAATTCCCCAGAAAGACCCAAATCCCGAGGGTGGGGTGGAGCTTCCCAGGTGGGCGGAGTTTCCAGGGAGGGTGTGGCTGCGGGAAGGGAAAGCTGGAAGAGTTCAGAGCGGGGTCAAGTGCAGGTTCTCAGGGCAGCGGGAAGCCCCCCTCCAAGAACCTTTCAGCTCCCAGATAACACCCACTTTGCCAAAAAAAAAGCACAAAAGTCACTTAAGCTCAAGTGTCGATCGGATGATCTAATAAATTTGCAAATTACTAACTCGTTATTGGGATCACTTTTGGAAGGTTTCAAGCTTATTTGATAGCAAACATCCTCCCTACCCTTTTTGGACAAACCAAGTAATAACATGAAACAAGAGAACAGGTTAATGGGGGCTTGAAAGCAACTACTTTCCAAAGCTCAAGTTTAGAAAGACCCACTTGCCAATAGATGGGTTCATCAAGATTGTTCCCTTTTCACCGAAACTGGTTTGGCTCAGTGGATAGAGCGTTGGCCTGCGCACTGAAAGGTCCCAGGTTCGATTCCGGTCAAGGGCATGTACCTGGGTTGCGGGCACATCCCCAGTGGGAGATTGCAGGAGGCAGCTGATCAATGTTTCTCTCTCATCGATGTTTCTAACTCTCTCTCTCCCTTCCCCTCTGTAAAAAAAATCAATAAAATATATTTTAAAAAAAGAAAAGATTGTTCCCTTTTCAAATCATTAAAACAGGATCCTTAACATTTATCTCAGGGGTATTATTTGTTCAAAACAGTTGGGCCCGGTCGGTGTGGCTCAGTGCTTGAGTGTCAACCCATGAACCAAGAGGTCACTGTCAGGGCACATGCCCAGGTTGTGGGCTCGATCCCTAGTAGAGGCTGTGCAGGAGGCAGCCAATACAGGATGTTCTCTCATCGATGTTTCTCTCTATATATACCTCTCTCTAAAAAAAAAGAAAAATATATCAATAAAAACATATTTTAAAAAACACAGTTGGAATTACACCAGCTTTTCTTCCCACCAGTTTCCATAACTAACTTTGTCTCCGGCTCTTACAGTGCAGTGGGCTGTGGTGGGTGGACTCTGCAGGAAGGATTGGCCTTGGGGAGCTGTTTGGAAAAGAAGGGCTACATCGGTCCACATGGGGGTGCCGTTTGCGCAGGTCTGGCTGAGGGCACAGAAGGTGCAGGAGGGACTCTGTGGGTGTGGAGGTGAGCAGAGCCTCCTGGCCAGGAGCCCAGCCCCAGCTCCACCGCGAGGCCACACGCTGAGCTGCAGGCCCCAACCCAAGGAGGAGATGTGGCCTTTTGTAAGCGTGAGCTCTGGGGCCAGGCAGACCTGGCTCACCTCTGGGCCCCGGCTCCCCATCCACAGGAAGCCCTGACCAAAGGAAGAAGCAGGGCCAGACACTGGGCCTGGCTCAGCCGCACCGCAGTCATCCTGGCCTCCCCCCTGTTCCCTACAACTGCAGAGGGTCTTTCTAGCATCAGAAAGGGGCGCATCTCAGAGATGCTGGGCCAGCTCCAGCATCCCCTGGGCCAGGAGGGCAGGGAGGAAGTGAAGAGAAAGTCAGGTACCAGCACCCCATTACCTGTTCTCTCTGCATGGTGTTACCAAGTTAAAAAGGTAAGAGCCCCGGCCAGGTGGCTCGGCTGGCTGGAGCGTCCTGCACAGCAAAAGGCTGGGGTTCAGCTCCCAGTCAGGGCACGAACGGGAGGCAACCGATCAATGTCTCTCTCTCACATCCATGTTTCTCTTTCTCTTAAAAAAAAAAATCAATAAAGCATATCCTCTGGTGAGGATTAAACAAACACATGAACAATACATACAGGGTGGGCAAAGGTAAGTTTACAGTTGTGAGTACATGAAACAGTTTATCCTTGTATTATTTATTAATGAATATATTGTTTATTTGTATTACAACTGTAAACACTCTGACCACCCTGTATTTCAATGGGTAGCACTTGTTCCTGATACAAATTTTAAAAGTACAGACAAGCAGACAGTGAGGAGTGATGCCTCCTGCATCCTGGGCCTCAGCCACCAGGCCCCACACTCCCCCACGGAGCAACCAGGCCCCACACCCCTCC